GAACATCTTGGAGATTGCCAACACCTCAGGAGCACTGGGAGAAAAGATGTCAGAAGAAAAACTGGTGAGAAAGATTCTCAGATCCTTGCCTAAAAGATTTGCAATGAAGGTAACTGCCATAGAGGAAGCCCAGGACATCAGCAAGTTGAAAGTGGATGAACTTATTGGGTCTCTTCAGACTTTTGAGATGGGGATCACTGATAATGGTGACAAGAAGAACAAGAGCATAGCACTTGTGTCCAACACTGATGTTGAAGAAAATATTTCAGAAGCTATAGCCATGCTTGGAAGACAGTTCAACAAACTCATCAAAAGAATAGATCCAAAGTCAAGGTCTAATGTCCATAACATTCCCTCTGACATTGACAGTTCCAGCAGAAGACCAAGGTCAGAAGAGAAGGGAAATCAAGGCAGAGGAATTCAATGCCATGGTTGTGAAGGATATGGGCATATTCGAGCTGAATGTCCTACCTTTCTTAAGAAACAAAAGAAAGGAATGACTGTTACTTGGTCTGACTGTGATTCAGAAAGTAATTCTGAAGAAGAATCTGCCAAACTAGTTACTGCTTTAACTGGTGTTTGTACCTCTGAAAGTGACATCAGTGATGAAGAGGTGACTTTTGAAGAACTGGCTGATACTTACAAGAAATTGTGTATCAGAAGTACTGAAGTCTGTGTGCAGAATGAGAAACAATCAAAACTCATCATAAAGCTGGAGGCTGAAAAAAGGGCAAACCTTGAAACTATAAGTCATCTAGAAGGAGAAGTTCAATTGCTGAACTCACAACTGAATCAAATGACCAAATCTGTCAAGATGCTGACAAATGGAACAGACAAATTGGAAGAGATCCTTCAGGTTGGACAAAATGTGGGAAATAAATCTGGACTAGGATTTATGGAAGCAAAGAAATCTGGTACAGATAAGAAGATCAGGCCTGATAAGCAAATGTCAAAACAGATGTCTCAACACAACTCTCAACATCAGGAACAGAGACATATGAAGAAAAGGTACCAAAGATGGAGATGTCATCATTGTGGGAGATATGGCCACATAAAGCCCTTCTGCTTCAGATTGCATGTATACCCTAATCAGAACTCAGGTGTCAAACCTAAGTCTAAAAAGGTACCACATGCTCCTGAATGGAAGAAAAAGGCTACTGCCCTGATAGCCCACACTTCCCTGAGGGTCTCTGCAAAGGAAGACTGGTACTTTGACAGTGGATGTTCCAGACACATGACTGGAATCAAGAACCTCCTCAATAATGTTAAGCCTCACACCACCAGTTTTGTGACCTTTGGAGATGGTGCTAAAGGTGAAATCAAAGGAGTTGGTGATTTGGACTGCCCTGGAGTTCCAAGTCTGAATGAAGTACTGCTGGTAAAAGGGCTGACTGCTAATCTCATTAGTATCAGTCAATTGTGTGATCTAGGATTCAAGGTCAATTTCTCAAAATCTGAATGTCTTGTAATCAATGACAAACAAGAAATTGTAATGAAAGGAGTCAGATCTAAAGACAACTGTTACTTGTGGGAGCCTGAGAACACTAATTTCTCCTCTGTGTGTTCCATTGCAAAAGAAGAAAAAGAGGTGAAACTGTGGCACCAAAAACTTGGCCATCTTCATCTAAGAGGTATGAAGAGGATTATCTCCTTGGAGGCAGTCAGAGGGATTCCAAGACTGCAAATTGATGAAGAAAGAGTTTGTGGTGAATGTCAGGTTGGTAAGCAGACTAGGATGTCACATCCAAAGTCAAGACATCTGACCACCTCTAAGGTTCTAGAACTTCTTCATATGGATCTGATGGGACCAATGCAAGTAGAGAGTCTTGGTGGAAAAAGATATGCCTATGTGGTTGTGGATGATTTTTCCAGATTTACCTGGATTAATTTCATTAGGGAAAAATCTGATGTATTTGAAGTTTTTAAAGAATTGTGCACAAGAATTCAAAGAGAAAAGGAAGGGTGTATTGTCAGAATCAGAAGTGATCATGGCAAGGAATTTGAAAACAACAAGTTTGATGATTTCTGTTCTTCAGAAGGAATTAGTCATGAATTTTCTTCTCCTATAACACCTCAGCAAAATGGAGTTGTGGAAAGAAAAAACAGGACCATACAGGAATCTGCCAGAGCAATGTTACATGCCAAAAGACTTCCTATGTATTTTTGGGCTGAAGCTATGAATACAGCCTGCTATGTTCATAACAGGGTCACCTTGAGAAAGGGAACCTCATCCACCATATATGAACTCTGGAAAGGAAGAAAACCAACTGTGAAGTACTTCCATGTGTTTGGCAGCAAATGCTATATTCTGGCTGATCGTGAACAAAGAAGAAAACTGGACCCTAAAAGTGATGAAGGCATATTTCTAGGATACTCCTCAAACAGCAGAGCTTATAGAGTATTCAATTCCAGAACCAAAGCCATGATGGAATCAATAAATGTTATAATTGATGACTATCATGAAGAAATAGATGTTCCTTGTACTGTTGAGACATTCTTTGAGACTTCAACCCAACAGAATGATCTACCCAACTCCACCACAACAGAATCTGAATCAAAGGAAGCTAGCAAGATCCCTTCCATCAGAATTCAGAAGGATCATCCAAGAGAGCTCATCATAGGAGATCCCAACAGTGGAGTCATCACAAGATCTAGAGAAATCATCTCAAACTCTTGTTTTGTGTCCAAAATGGAACCAAGAAATGTCAAGGAAGCTTTAACTGATGAATACTGGATTGGTGCAATGCAAGATGAACTGAACCAATTCAAGCAACATGAAGTTTGGGAACTGGTTCCTAGACCTGAAGGAACTAACATCATTGGGACAAAATGGATATTCAAGAACAAGTCAGATGTTGAAGGAGTTGTCACCAGAAATAAGGCAAGACTTGTTGCTCAAGGATACACCCAGGTTGAAGGGGTTGATTTTGATGAAACCTTTGCACCTGTAGCCAGGCTGGAATCAATCAGACTCCTATTGTTAATTGCTTGTCTTCTGAAGTTCAAGTTATTTCAGATGGATGTGAAAAGTGCCTTTCTAAATGGATACTTAAATGAGGAAGCTTATGTGGAACAACCTAAAGGCTTTGTGGATCCAATCCACCCTGATCATGTCTACAAATTGAGAAAAGCTCTATATGGCCTGAAACAAGCTCCTAGAGCATGGTATGACAGGTTAACAAAGTTTCTCTCAGACAAAGGCTACAGAAAAGGAGGCTTGGACAAAACTCTCTTTGTCAAAACTGAAGGAGGGAAGTTGATGGTTGCCCAAATATATGTTGATGACATAGTGTTTGGAGGAATGTCAGAACATATGTGTGATCGGTGGATCTGGAACTGACTGTTTAATGCTGGTTCGCGAAATGTCGCGGAAGCAAGAGTCGCCACCGTCTTTTATTTTCTCCAAATGGAAAGGACAAAAGCACAGAAAAATTCCTTAAAGAGATTGCTCTCGGTTCGGGAGGTAGGTTATGGAAAGGGAAGGTGTTAGCACCCTTTCTATCCATGGTTATCCATGGGCTCTTAGATACTTGCTCAATGTGTTTTCAAAATGTTTGCTTGCTTTTCAATGTGGGTTTAAAAAACGTTTCTTTGAAAAATTTCAGTTCGACTCATACGTCAGAGTGTTTGAAAAGTTTGCTTTGAAAGCTTTTGAAAAGTGTCGGTGTGAAAAGTCTTTTTGAGTTTGTTTTGAGATTAGAGCAAGTATCCTTGAGAACCTACCTACCCTAAGGAATTCGTCTGTGTAGATGTCCTTTAAAGTAGTGCCATCCCACCATTGAGAGGTAGGTAGCACCACCGTTGGAGGTGTTCGGGTCAATTCGAGTTTTAGGGACATGGTGATCACCAGAGCAATGGGAAGACACCTTAGAAGCTACCCTCATGCCAGGTTCCCGGATCATGAGGACTTACTAAGACGTCCTCTACTCGACGATCACCTTTCGAAAGGCAACAGTGAGGCGTACCCTAGGGGTGGTGTGTGCGAATTGTGTGTCATTTTCATTGATATTTGTCTTTTGTCATGTCATTGTGATCTACGCTTGATTTTAATTAAGACATTCATTCTTGCATGCTTTTTAACAGTTATAAAGTATTTGCGGGAAAATAAATCTAAACTATTACAAATGGCGCGGGTCCACATCGCCAAAATTAAACTGAACCCGATTTGACTGAAAGTAAATAAAGCGAATAAAAGTGCGAGAAATAAAATCGTTACAACGCTTTGGGAGAATTACATAATTACAATAAACGACATAAAATAAATGCGCGAAATTAAATTGAAAACGAGGGCGGCGGACCATTTTAATGAAATTATTATTAACAAATTAAATTAAAGAAAAAGAAAAGATTTTTGAGTTTTGGTTATTTATGAATTTTTGATAAGAGAATTAAACAAAATTAAGAAATTAATTAATTAACCCTACTTCTACAATTTTAAGTTATTAAGAAAAAAAACATGTTAAAATTTAGACCTAAAATTAAATTAATTAGTTAATGGCAAAGTTTATTTACAAAAATACTATTAAGTAATTAATTATGATAAAGGAAAAGAAAAAAGATAATTAAAACCCTAATTCTACAATTTTAAGTTTATTGAAAAAAATATTTAAATTAAACCTAATTTAATCCTAATTATGCTAATTAAAATAAATAAATATGAAATAAAAAAAAAAGAATAACAAGTGAGGCACTTGGGACGGCACCCTTCCGTCAGTAAGTTCTGTTGAACTTTTCAACCAAACATTTCTAGCCAGCCAATTTTGACAAGTGGCAAATAAAAATTATGATAATAAAAAAATAAATTATGTAAATAAGAAGTAGTATATTGAAAACCAAACAGAGATCTGATATCTCTTTCTCTCATTCACGTTTCCTCTTCCCTTTAAACCTTCTTCTTCATTCCTTTTCCTCCTTCATTGTTCCATTTTTTTTTTCTGTACTTAATAACAACAAACAACCATGTTAAAACAAACAACAAAAAAGATAAATAATACCTTGAATTAATGGAAACGGTTGGTGGTCAGAAGGAGAGAGCTGGGTTCAGATCCATTGCGCGAACGGAGGGTGGCCGCGGTTTGGAGGCTGAGCGGCGGTTGTCGTGGGGAGGAGAGTGAATTCGGCAGTTGCTGGCCGTCGCGAGTGGGTACGCGAAGTTGGCTGTTGGAATCGGTGTTGGGTGAAGGGCGTTGTTGCAGATCCACTCGCCGTTCAAGCGGACAGCTCAGTCGTGGCCAGCGGTGATGCGTGTTCGGCGGCGCGATTGAGATGCGTGGGCGGCCAGAAGTTTGGTGGTGGTGACAGTTGCGGTGAATGCAGTCGCGCGTGTGGAGACGAGTGACGCGGCAGTTATCGACGAGATACGGTTGATTCGCGGCAGATTCGAGTTTTCTGTTCTGGATATGATTTCTTTCTCCTCCAATCTTGCCTTGTTTAATTTGTTGTCTGTTGTTGATTTGTTGAAAGGTTGTGTGATGCAGGTCAATTGCTTCTCGAGAAATCAAGAGCAACCGAAGCCACAATTTGAGTAATCATACGGAAAAACTTCAGACTTTGAAGTCATTTGGAATTGAAAGGGACGGTGGAAATTTGCACAGTTTATAAGTTTGTCTAACAGGGATGGATAAAAGGTTTATGATGATTGTTTGAAATTGTTATAGAAGCCGAAATCATAGTTTACAAGTTTGTCTAACAGGGATGGATAAAAGGTTTATGATAATTGGTTTTGGATTGTGAAGGTTTTAGGATTTACTGTGGTGTTTCAATTTTGAACCTTCAAGCATGGAAACAAAGGGAGTTTTGGTGATGCTGTGCACGTGAAAGAGAGGGTTTTTGCCAAAGGTTCTTTAGTGAAATTGGAACAAAGTCATAAGAATTGGTGAGTCGAAGTGTGTGATGCCATGAATTTGTGAATGGTCACTGAGTGTAAAAAGTGAGGTTTTCTTGCGGATGAAAATAAGAGTTTTTTTGGGAAAAATATGTATCGTGGAATAGGTTTTTGAATCCATCCCCTCTTACGCAGCTTTTCGTGTCCTTTTATTAGGTTTTTGTTATGCCTCTATGTATGAATGGATTAGGTTAAAGATTTGAGTCCAAAAGCCTTGTAACCATGAATCCAATATTTTTTTTAATGGCAAAACACTTTCTAATCTTTTCATGCAAATTTAGTTCAAATCATGGCTAATTAACAAGATTCTTTCCAAATTTGATTATGCACAAAATCTTGAGATTATTTCATGCACAAAAAGATTCAAAAACTAGGTTTAGTATTTTTCACATATTTAATTTAATTAAATGAATTATTAATAATTAAAAATCCAAATAAATAAATAAAAATGATAAAAAAAACTTCCCTTTGGGCCAAATGGTCGTGCACATGCCTTGAATGATGAATTGTGGAAGAAAAATGGGCCCATTAGCATTTTTAGGTCATTTGGATCAAAGTTGACTTTTCAAAATATCCAAAAATTTCCCAACTTCCACAAGGCATAACTTGCTCAATTTTTAAGCTTTTCTCATGTTCTTGGACATTTTGGAAAGGTATTTGAGTCCTTTAACCAATGTCTTTGGTTCCATGTCATTTTGATTTACCAATCTCAAGTTATGGCCTTTGACTTAAAGTCCCTTTTTGTTGACTTTTGAAAATGACCTATAATGTTGAAATTGATAACTTTTTGTGAGAGCATTTCTTGGACTTTAAGTATGAAGATGAGTTGTAGGAAATGTCTTTCTCTTCAAAATGAGCTTTGGATGGAATTTTTCTGATAATCCATGTGAAAGTTATGCCCTGGTCAATTTCAGTTGACTTTTTCAACTGTCCAAATAAGGAAACTTTTGCATCTTTGATGATTTCTGAGCCAAATTTTGAGAATCATGATCAAGCATTGATCAAATGATGTTTGTGGCTTCAAAATGATATGTTGACCAAAAATTTGAACTTTTGACTGCCAAATGACCATTTTGCCCCTACAGTTGACTGTAGTGCAATTTAGGGTTTTGACTGTGCAATTTTGAGCTGAATGCCTTGAAACTTGATATGAGGATACTTGACCATCTTTGTAGGCATATGAACTTGATTGGGCCTTTGAAAACTTCCAATTCTTGTTCAGAACACAAACCCTAGTTTTGGCTGTATAGGAGACAGTTGAACTGCATAACCCTTGGGGAATTTTGTGACTTGGCTTGGCAATTTCTTGAAGAATATGGGAGGGCAAATTTTGGGGTACAACAGTTGCCCCTGTTCAATCTTCTTAGACCTGAGGATGCAGATTGGCTGACATGCCTTTCGTAATCCGAGGGTAGAAGATGATTGGACACTAGAGTGCCCAGAAATTTGCGCTCACATAGTAACAGTGATGGGGGAATGGGCTTATAGATGCCATTTGGAGATTGCTGGATAGGGTGATGGGCTTATAGATGCCATCTGGATGTTGATCGCGTAGGAGATTCCTTAGCGGGAACCTGCATACCTGCAACAGAGAAAATGAGTACCTGACACGTTGCAGGAGCTGATTTTAGATGCTTGGTATAGATGTGTCCTGACTGGTTACAGGAGCTGAGTTTGGAGCTTCAAACGCTGATGAATGAACCAGGGATGGTTACTGCCTTAGCATGGATGGTAAGAGAACCTTGGGCGATTTAACTTCAACAACGCTCGTTGAGAAAAATCTTGGGTGTCTTCTACTGGGATAAGAATCAGGGAGATCTTAGGGTCGATCTGACTGAACCAGAGGAGGCCTTTGACTGGATACGCATCAGGAAAATCTTAGGGTCGATTTAACTGAACCGGACAAGGTCTTGGAATATCTTCAACTGGATAAGCATCAGGGAGATCTTAGGGTCGATCTGACTGAACCAGAGAAGGCCTTTGACTGGATAAGCATCAGGAAAATCTTAGGGTCGATTTAACTGAACCGGACAAGGTCTTGGAATATCTTCAACTGGATAAGCATCAGGGAGATCTTAGGGTCGATCTGACTGAACCAGAGAAGGCCTTTGACTGGATAAGCATCAGGAAAATCTTAGGGTCGATTTAACTGAACCGGTCTAGGTCTTGAAATATCTTCAACTGGATAAGCATCAGGGAGATCTTAGGGTCGATCTGACTGAACCAGAGAAGGCCTTTGTCTGGATAAGCATCAGGAAAATCTTAGGGTCGATTTAACTGAACCGGACAAGGTCTTGGAATATCTTCAACTGGATAAGCATCAAGGAGATCTTAGGGTCGATCTGACTGAACCAGAGAAGGCCTTTGACTGGATAAGCATCAGGAAAATCTTAGGGTCGATTTAACTGAACCGGACAAGGTCTTGAAATCTTCAACTGGATAAGCATCAGGGAGATCTTAGGGTCGATCTGACTGAACCAGAGAAGGCCTTTGACTGGATAAGCATCAGGAAAATCTTAGGGTCGATTTAACTGAACCGGACAAGGTCTTGGAATATCTTCAACTGGATAAGCATCAGGGAGATCTTAGGGTCGATCTGACTGAACCAGAGAAGGCCTTTGACTGGATAAGCATCAGGAAAATCTTAGGGTCGATTTAACTGAACCGGTCTAGGTCTTGAAATATCTTCAACTGGATAAGCATCAGGGAGATCTTAGGGTCGATCTAACTGAACCGGTCTAGGTCTTGAAATATCTTCAACTGGATAAGCATCAGGGAGATCTTAGGGTCGATCTGACTGAACCAGAGAAGGCCTTTGACTGGATAAGCATCAGGAAAATCTTAGGGTCGATTTAACTGAACCGGTCTAGGTCTTGAAATATCTTCAACTGGATAAGCATCAGGGAGATCTTAGGGTCGATCTGACTGAACCAGAGAAGGCCTTTGACTGGATAAGCATCAGGAAAATCTTAGGGTCGATTTAACTGAACCGGTCTAGGTCTTGAAACATCTTCAACTGGATAAGCATCAGGGAGATCTTAGGGTCGATCTGACTGAACCAGAGAAGGCCTTTGACTGGATAAGCATCAGGAAAATCTTAGGGTCGATTTAACTGAACCGGTCTAGGTCTTGAAATGTGATTGAGACTTTAAACTGCATCTTTCCTGAAAGGTAAAAGTCAGTCATATGCAATGCATGATATGGATCAAGCAATGATGTTCTCAACATAAAGGAGACTTGTATGATGCAGTGCGTTATGCATGCTATGATGATGTATGTGAAGTTTTATGTATGTTTTCGTCTAGGAAAGTGAATCCTTGACGGGTGCCGGGAAGTTGTATCCTGGGCTGACGTTGAAGAATAGATTTTGCTTCCGCTGGGGATGATAACTGCAAGAATACCGGTAGGAGAAGATAACTCCGTTGAGGAATAAACTTGGCAAATGAAGAGTCTGCGGGGAGAAAAGATACTCTAGCGACTATGCTGGGAAGCGGTACTCTGTGGGGATAGAGATGCTTCGCTGAGTGTTGATAATAGTTTGTTGGGGATACCGTTGTTGTTGGAAGTGTTGAAGGACTTCGCTGGGGTAAGACTTTGTCGGGGACGCTCTTTCCGCGGCTTTTGGCTGAGGATAACCCAGTTATATCCTGTTAAGGAAATAACTCTTTAAATAAAGCCGGACGACGCGTTCGTGCTCTGTGAGGATAAGCTTCCAGAATTTACTGGGGGTAAGCTTACTGCTTGGGGAGATATGAATTCCAACTTTCCTGGGGAAACTGGGTTGGACTGGACTCTTTGGGGAAGTTTTGATATGCTGGGGAGGTGACTCCTTTGAGTGTTGAGATACCGCCGGGGAACGATCTTTAGGCCAAGACTGCCGGGGATACTTGTTAAGAATATATACTGCTGGGGAAGTATTGATATCTGTTGGAGGATACTCAATTTCCTTGATAATCTGATAATAGCTTGGAGAAGAAGGTACTGTTTTACTGAACCACTCTCTGGGGAATTAAGGTACACTTGGCCGTGTTCTTTAGCTGAACCTACCTTGGTACCTCGGAGGATAGAACAATTAGACTGCTCAGGCAAACTCTTTTATTGCCCCTGTTTCTGAGGTGGGAGAGGAAGACCTATGAGGTGCTGATAGTTGTTGACGGGAAAACCTTCTTCTGGTAGGCAGGTGACAAGATGACGGGACATAGTCGTACGCTTTGATCCCTAACTTTTGCCTGGACCGCCCTTTCGGGTTTTCAGTCCACCGGGATACCCATTTTTGCCCAAGCCGCCTTTTCAGGTTTTCGACTTGCCGGGTGTACAGATTTTTCATTTCATCCCTTCATTTTGCCCGAACCCTTTTGGTTCGCCGGGAAACCCTTATTTTTGCCTAGGCATGTCAGCCTAGCGGGTCTTTGATTATGCGTAGTATTTTTCGATTATGTCCACGCTCTCAGAATGTAGGGAGGTGCCCCTGTTAGGAGTGTTTTGCCATGCCATCAGAAGGTGTTTGATCAGGCAAGATTCGTTGTTGGAGTGCCCCAAGTGACTCAGGCGGAGATTTGCCCCAGGCTGTTTGACATTTTGAAAGATTCTCTGAATCTTGACTTAACTGCCCCAGATAATAGACACTAGTCATGCCATGCCCCTTGATTGGAAGTACTTCTGTTCGTTAGGCATTCGTCGTGCGAATTTCAATGCTGTTCAAACAAAAAGTCATATGCAAACAAAGTTATGTTAAAAATGCAAAGCTCATGTCTGTCTTGAAGATTTTAAAAAATGCATTCTTTTTCATAAAACAAGTGAATGTTTGTAAAACGTGATGTCAACTCCGTATTTACTGTAAGCCTTAAGGAGTCAGGATACCTTTAGTAACAGTATGCTTTCGAACTAACCCATGCTTCAGCTAGGACTTTTAAGGGTTATAACGTGGCCGGGTTCACGGTTTAAGAAACAAAGGATAAAGGCTCAAATTATTTGTACCCACCCGCTCTTCGTGATGTTCTCCAAACCTAAACTCAGTTGATCATACGTTAGACTTTGTTTTGATTTTCCGGTGATGATTCGGATGTTGAACGTTTATTTGAATAGGCAGTCATTTTTTGTCGAGGGTTTATAAGACCTCTTTCTTGATTTTGTTATCCCTTTCTTTTTTTGCCTGAACTGCTTCCTTTTTTGGAATTACAGTCAGCGGGATGCCCCAGTTTTGTAAGTCTCCTTCATGGGTTTTGACTTAATGGGTTTTTTTTTATTTTGAAAGATAATGACTGCCTTTCTTTATTGATTATTCGGAACCATCACTGTCTTTCTTCGTTTTGTAAAGATCTCTTCGGTGCCGTTCGTCATGCACTTGGATCAACTGAGAGACTACCCTGCCCCAGGTTATGATTAAGGGTTTTAATTTTCGAAAAGAAAAACTCCTACTTCTTTGGCTCAGAGGGGTTGACGAGGGATTATCATCCTTATAACTCCAGTGTTTAGGGATTGAAACAATGCCTGTACCTCATCAGCAGGGTCTGTTCAAAAGCATACTGTAAAGATTGCGGTATCGTTTTCGTCATCCTCCCTCAAGAGGCTTAGAATTAACGAGAGTTGACATCAGAAAAAATATGAAAACAATTTGCATATAGTGAATGCAAATACATTGATTCAAAATAGACATAATCGATGCATTAATGGGATAACAATGTTTTAACATGAATAAATGTTTGAACGGTCAATAGAAAAAACACAACTTGAACATTCGACTGAACAAAAGTTTCCTAGTCTCGGAGCTTGTCACTTCAACTGGTGAGCCTTGGAGGGATGGTAGAAAAATTCAGCCTGTCCATCTTGTGTGAACTCCAATGCCCCTTCATCGATCAGGTCCTGGATTTTGTTCCTCAGATCCCAACATTCATTGGTATCATGTCCTGGGCTAGCAGAGTGGTAGGCACACCTCTTATTGGGATCATAGGCAGGAGATGCTGTGTTGGGGTTCCGGGGATGAGCCCTTAATGTGATCAGATTCAACCTCAACAGGCGTTGTAAAGCTTGAAACAGCGACATGTTGAGCTGGGTGAATTGCCTTCTGGGCTTGTCTGGCTGAAGCTGGTGAAGTTGCTGCTGAGTTTGTGGCCCTGAAGCCATTTGAGGGGCTCTCCCCCTATCTCCATGTCTCAAAGATGGTTGAATGATGACTGGCTTTTTATCCTTAGATGTTTGCCCCAGTTGGTTACCCTGAAGCAGTTGGTTGACGAGAAATCGGAGCTCATCTTGTCTTTGAGCTAAACCTTGAATGGCATTCCTCTGTCCCAACATCTGGGCTTTCATTGCATCCATCTCCGCTTGTAGGTGTTTTAGCCCTTCATCCTCAGCACTGTCCCTGACTAGAGTCTCCATGAGAAGTGTCTTTAGCTCCTCCTGCCCCTTGGATAGATTCAGGAGGATTTTCCCGAACCTGGTCTCTTGAGCAAGAAAGTCCTGGTTGTCTTGTTGGGAAGCCATTGCTGAAATAAACAGCGGGAAAGGTAAGTGACCTGCAACAAGGGTACCTGTCATGCAATGATATGTATGATATGCATGCAATGTTTTCAAGGACCTCGCGGGGTAAACAAGAAAAAATTTGTCAGAGTTTGAATCCGGTAGCTTGATTGAAGGAAACCCATGCTGTTGAGGATTCTTCTTTAAGGGTCAAAGGCTCACCATATCCAGTGGGTCATAGCCCCTGACTTTGGTCATCATGTCTGGTTTTGATTTTCAAACAACCTTGGTTAGGGGAACCTTCTTCAAGAGTCAGAGCTCACCATATCAAGTGGGTCATAGCCCCTGACAACTTTGGCTAGAGGAAATAAATTCTCTTTGCCCCTTGCTATATGTTTGATTTATCATGACCTGCATCACAAGCCCTTGAGATCCTTGAAATGGGTTAGGATGTATGCAATGGTATGATGTCGTGATGCATAGGGTAATATGAATAATCCCCGTTATGAGTCCTTATTAAGGACTATACACAGAAACCTGCAAGAAAATCAAGTAAAACCTGTCATGAGTCCCAGTTGAGGACTATAAACAAAACCTGCGAGAAACTTGGTAAACTTTGTTATGAGTCCTAATTAAGGACTATGACAAAAACTGCAAGAAGCTTAGTAAGCCCTGTCATGGGTCCCAATTAAGGACTAAAATAAAACCTGCAAATAGTTCATGTGTCAGATAAAGCATGCAAGTAGTCAAGTACGAAGGCACACAAGTCACATAAAAGAGCCCTTAGAGTTTAGGCCGGCATGGGGTCTGGGTAGTACCCTCTTGAAGTTGGTTGGTTCAACCTGTCCTATTAGAAGTAACCGGGTTCTAAGGGTCCCAATATCACGGGATTGCTTTCATTGTTCATCGTTTCGATTTAGCCACTGAACTGGCGACCGAAATATTCTAGGAAAGCAACCCTCAATTGAGTGTAGTATCGAGTATCAACCAACCTCGGACTGCACCAAAGTCAGTTATCTCACTACCCTAAAGAGGCCAAGATAGTTCAATTAAGGTTCCTAAGGTCTGTTGATGCTTCACGACACCACGCGGAGGCCCCGTACTCTCCTTGACTGAACTCAAGGGTTACCGGTACACACCAAAGTGCCACATCAACGTAGCAGACTGTTTCAACCATGTCGGTATACCCCGCACAGTTCCCTCACAGCCTTGTTGCTACTTTCTAAGAAGGTATCCCCATATCCGGGTTAGGATCTATAGAACTCCCAAGACAGTCCCACAATTTAAAGCAAGCAAAGAAAATAATTGAAAACACAGTTATGAACTATCCCTAAGGTACACCTCACTTTAAGTTTGTGTCCCCAGCAGATTCGCCAGTTCTGTGATCGGTGGATCTGGAACTGACTGTTTAACGCTGGTTCGCGAAATGTCGCGGAAGCAAGAGTCGCCACCGTCTTTTATTTTCTCCAAATGGAAAGGACAAAAGCACAGAAAAATTCCTTAAAGAGATTGCTCTCGGTTCGGGAGGTAGGTTATAGAAAGGGAAGGTGTTAGCACCCTTTCTATCCATGGTTATCCATGGGCTCTTAGATACTTGCTCAATGTGTTTTCAAAATGTTTGCTTGCTTTTCAATGTGGGTTTAAAAAAAGTTTCTTTGAAAAATTTCAGTTCGACTCATACGTCAGAGTGTTTGAAAAGTTTGCTTTGAAAGCTTTTGAAAAGTGTCGGTGTGAAAAGTCTTTTTGAGTTTGTTTTGAGATTAGAGCAAGTATCCTTGAGAACCTACCTACCCTAAGGAATTCGTCTGTGTAGATGTCCTTTAAAGTAGTGCCATCCCACCATTGAGAGGTAGGTAGCACCACCGTTGGAGGTGTTCGGGTCAATTCGAGTTTTAGGGACATGGTGATCACCAGAGCAATGGGAAGACACCTTAGAAGCTACCCTCATGCCAGGTTCCCGGATCATGAGGACTTACTAAGACGTCCTCTACTCGACGATCACCTTTCGAAAGGCAACAGTGAGGCGTACCCTAGGGGTGGTGTGTGCGAATTGTGTGTCGTTTTCATTGATATTTGTCTTTTGTCATGTCATTGTGATCTACGCTTGATTTTAATTAAGACATTCATTCTTGCATGCTTTTTAACAGTTATAAAGTATTTGCGGGAAAATAAATCTAAACTATTACAAATGGCGCGGGTCCACATCGCCAAAATTAAACTGAACCCGATTTGACTGAAAGTAAATAAAGCGAATAAAAGTGCGAGAAATAAAATCGTTACAACGCTTTGGGAGAATTACATAATTACAATAAACGACATAAAATAAATGCGCGAAATTAAATTGAAAACGAGGGCGGCGGACCATTTTAATGAAATTATTATTAACAAATTAAATTAAAGAAAAAGAAAAGATTTTTGAGTTTTGGTTATTTATGAATTTTTGATAAGAGAATTAAACAAAATTAAGAAATTAATTAATTAACCCTACTTCTACAATTTTAAGTTATTAAGAAAAAAAACATGTTAAAATTTAGACCTAAAATTAAATTAATTAGTTAATGGCAAAGTTTATTTACAAAAATACTATTAAGTAATTAATTATGATAAAGGAAAAGAAAAAAGATAATTAAAACCCTAATTCTACAATTTTAAGTTTATTGAAAAAAATATTTAAATTAAACCTAATTTAATCCTAATTATGCTAATTAAAATAAATAAATATGAAATAAAAAAAAAGAATAACAAGTGAGGCACTTGGGACGGCACCCTTCCGTCAGTAAGTTCTGTTGAACTTTTCAACCAAACATTTCTAGCCAGCCAATTTTGACAAGTGGCAAATAAAAATTATGATAATAAAAAAATAAATTATGTAAATAAGAAGTAGTATATTGAAAACCAAATAGAGATCTGATATCTCTTTCTCTCATTCACGTTTCCTCTTCCCTTTAAACCTTCTTCTTCATTCCTTTTCCTCCTTCATTGTTCCATTTTTTTTTTCTGTACTTAATAACAACAAACAACCATGTTAAAACAAACAACAAAAAAGATAAATAATACCTTGAATTAATGGAAACGGTTGGTGGTCAGAAGGAGAGAGCTGGGTTCAGATCCATTGCGCGAACGGAGGGTGGCCGCGGTTTGGAGGCTGAGCGGCGGTTGTCGTGGGGAGGAGAGTGAATTCGGCAGTTGCTGGCCGTCGCGAGTGGGTACGCGAAGTTGGCTGTTGGAATCGGTGTTGGGTGAAGGGCGTTGTTGCAGATCCACTCGCCGTTCAAGCGGACAGCTCAGTCGCGGCCAGCGGTGATGCGTGTTCGGCGGCGCGATTGAGATGCGTGGGCGGCCAGAAGTTTGGTGGTGGTGCAGTTGCGGTGAATGCAGTCGCGCGTGTGGAGACGAGTGACGCGGCAGTTATCGACGAGATACGGTTGATTCGCGGCAGATTCGAGTTTTCTGTTCTGGATATGATTTCTTTCTCCTCCAATCTTGCCTTGTTTAATTTGTTGTCTGTTGTTGATTTGTTGAAAGGTTGTGTGATGCAGGTCAATTGCTTCTCGAGAAATCAAGAGCAACCGAAGCCACAATTTGAGTAATCATACGGAAAAACTTCAGACTTTGAAGTCATTTGGAATTGAAAGGGACGGTGGAAATTTGCACAGTTTATAAGTTTGTCTAACAGGGATGGATAAAAGGTTTATGATGATTGTTTGAAATTGTTATAGAAGCCTAAATCATAGTTTACAAGTTTGTCTAACAGGGATGGATAAAAGGTTTATGATAATTGGTTTTGGATTGTGAAGGTTTTAGGATTTACTGTGGTGTTTCAATTTTGAACCTTCAAGCATGGAAACAAATGGAGTTTTGGTGATGCTGTGCACGTGAAAGAGAGGGTTTTTGCCAAAGGTTCTTTAGTGAAATTGGAACAAAGTCATAAGAATTGGTGAGTCGAAGTGTGTGATGCCATGAATTTGTGAATGGTCACTGAGTGTAAAAAGTGAGGTTTTCTTGCGGATGAAAATAAGAGTTTTTTTGGGAAAAATATGTATCGTGGAATAGGTTTTTGAATCCATCCCCTCTTACGCAGCTTTTCGTGTCCTTTTATTAGGTTTTTGTTATGCCTCTATGTATGAATGGATTAGGTTAAAGATTTGAGTCCAAAAGCCTTGTAACCATGAATCTAATATTTTTTTTAATGGCAAAACACTTTCTAATCTTTTCATGCAAATTTAGTTCAAATCATGGCTAATTAACAAGATTCTTTCCAAATTTGATTATGCACAAAATCTTGAGATTATTTCATGCACAAAAAGATTCAAAAACTAGGTTTAGTATTTTTCACATATTTAATTTAATTAAATGAATTATTAATAATTAAAAATCCAAATAAATAAATAAAAATGATAAAAAAACTTCCCTTTGGGCCAAATGGTCGTGCACATGCCTTGGATGATGAATTGTGGAAGAAAAATGGGCCCATTAGCATTTTTAGGTCATTTGGATCAAAGTTGACTTTTCAAAATATCCAAAACTTTCCCAACTTCCACAAGGCATAACTTGCTCAATTTTTAAGCTTTTCTCATGTTCTTGGACATTTTGGAAAGGTATTTGAGTCCTTTAACCAATGTCTTTGGTTCCATGTCATTTTGATTTACCAATCTCAAGTTATGGCCTTTGACTTAAAGTCCCTTTTTGTTGACTTTTGAAAATGACCTATAATGTTGAAATTGATAACTTTTTGTGAGAGCATTTCTTGGACTTGAAGTATGAAGATGAGTTGTAGGAAATGTCTTTCTCTTCAAAATGAGCTTTGGATGGAATTTTTCTGATAATCCATGTGAAAGTTATGCCCTGGTCAATTTCAGTTGACTTTTTCAACTGTCCAAATAAGGAAACTTTTGCATCTTTGATGATTTCTGAGCCAAATTTTGAGAATCATGATCAAGCATTGATCAAATGATGTTTGTGGCTTCAAAATGATATGTTGACCAAAAATTTGAACTTTTGACTGCCAAATGACCATTTTGCCCCTACAGTTGACTGTAGTGCAATTTAGGGTTTTGACTGTGCAATTTTGAGCTGAATGCCTTGAAACTTGATATGAGGATACTTGACCATCTTTGTAGGCATATGAACTTGATTGGGCCTTTGAAAACTTCCAATTCTTGTTCAGAACACAAACCCTAGTTTTGGCTGTATAGGAGACAGTTGAACTGCATAACCCTTGGGGAATTTTGTGACTTGGCTTGGCAATTTCTTGAAGAATATGGGAGGGCAAATTTTGGGGTACAACAATATGGTTAAACACTTTGCTGACCAGATGCAGGCTGAATTCGAAATGAGTCTCATGGGAGAACTAACTTATTTTCTTGGACTGCAAGTCTCACAGATGGAGGACTCAATCTTCTTATCTCAAAGCAAGTATGCTAAGAACATTGTAAAGAAGTTTGGTATGGAGAATGCAAGTCACAAAAGGACTCCTGCTCCTACTCATCTAAAGCTTTCCAAAGATTCAAGTGGGGTTAAGGTGGATCAAAGTCTGTACAGAAGCATGATAGGAAGCTTGTTGTACTTAACTGCCAGCAGACCTGATATTGCCTTTGCAGTTGGAGTTTGTGCAAGATACCAAGCTGATCCCAAAGTCAGTCATATCAATCAAGTGAAGAGAATTTTGAAGTATGTAAGTGGAACTTACAACTATGGGTTGATGTATTCTCATGGCTGTGAACCAGCTCTGACTGGCTACTGTGATGCTGATTGGGCTGGTAGTGCTGATGATAGAAAAAGCACCTCTGGAGGATGTTTCTTCTTGGGAAATAATTTGGTTTCCTGGTTCAGCAAGAAACAGAATTGTGTGTCTCTTTCTACTGTTGAAGCTGAATACATTGCAGCTGGTAGTAGCTGCTCTCAAATGATCTGGATGAAACAGATGCTTACTGAGTATAATGTCACACAAGATGTTATGACATTGTACTGTGACAATCTGAGTACAATCAACATTTCCAAGAATCCCATTCAGCATAGTAGGACCAAACATATTGACATACGACATCACTTTATCAGAGACCTTGTAGAAGAGAAGACAATCAAATTGGAACATGTTGCCACTGAGCTACAGCTGGCTGACATTTTTACCAAGGCTCTTGATGCAAATCAATTTGAAAACTTGAGGGGTAAGTTGGGTATTTGCCAACATGAGGAACTGTAGCAATTAATTTTGCTTAAAACAAGGGTTAAAGGAGTTATGCTTGTTCTGATTGGGTTAAAATTATATTTTCCCATTTCCTTCAATTCTTTTAAGAAGTTGAATAGACACTCCTTTTCTTCCTTCCCCTCTCGTCTCCTCATCATAACCCAGTCTCTCAATCAGAATTTTCTCTTCAGTTGCTGTTGGTCCTCTAAGACTGTCAAAATGTCTCAAACACCATCATCATCCAATACGACTATTTCAACCTCTTCCTCTGATCAAGATTCTAGGACAATCTCTTCTTGTCTGGACTCTGAAGTCCTGGAGATCTCTTCTCGTAGAAAAGTGGGAACTAACCCCACCAAGGTCAAAGAGGTGAGAACAAGACATGCAGGAAAGTCCCAAGCTTCTGCCTCTGGTAATCCATCTCATCCTTCTTCTTCAGTTCCCCCTGAAATTGCAAATAGGGAAGGGTCAGCCTATGTTAGTCAAGCAATAGCTAAAATTGTTTCAAGAATTCTGAACGAGAACCACTCAGTTCCTGGCATTTCTGTTCCTTTGCATCAAGAAAGTTCAAATGCTGAAACAAATCCAGATGTCTCTAAGGATGTTGAGACATCAGACAAAGAGAAGAATGCTGACATTGCTCACAAGAAAAGGAAGAAGCCCGAACCCTCTGAGTCTGATGACAATGCTTAAAGGTTGGTTGTTGTTTGGTGGTGTTGCTGATTGGTGGTGGTGATACCTGGTGGAGTTTGGAAGTGTGTTCAGTTTTTTTTTCTCTGCTGCTGCTCTTATTATTTTTGGATAACTGTATAATCTTTATGAACATGTATCTTTGGCCCATTTGTGGCTAAAGAGGGGGAGAATATTTTGGTACTTACTTAATTAGTACCTGCTTAATTAGACATTCTATTTTTCTGCAGTCACTTATTTCTGCTGCTATCTATCTCTGATTGCTTAGGGTCTTTAGCCAAAAATCTGCCAAAGGGGGAGTTTGTAGTTGTTTAGTTATTGGCTTGCATTTTTGGTAAAACCCAAGTGTGTATGTGTGAATGTCATGACTGATGTCATAACATTCTAGTTTAGTTTGTACTGATTCATTAGGTACCTTTGCAGAAAAATATTGTCATTCAGGTACTGATGTTTATAAGTGTGTATCTGAGCATTTTGCAAAATGATCACATTTTCCTAAATCAGTAGACAGGTTTTTCAGATGTCATAACAGATGTTAAGACATCCTGTTCTGAACTAACAGGTATGCAGGTTGGTTAATTCTGAGTTTTTTCAGGAAAATAACTCAGTCTTTCCAGAACAGAATCCTGCGTTTTCTTTGGGTTAACCTAGCTCAACCCTAACCTGGTTAATAAAGTCATGTGACCTAGTCTTAAGGTCAAACGAAATTAACCCTAGGTTTTTGTGGAAACCCTAACTGAAGTTGCAGCTGCTATATATTCAACAGAGCTGCTGTTTTGCAAGTAATCCCTTTTTGGTCAGAAGATCATTTGTAAACTGTATAGGTTTAATTATTGTACTCCAAGCAATTATCATTGTGATAAGTGACTTGGAATAGGTTTTTAATTGTAAGGGTTGTGTAGCACTCAAAGCTTTGAAGCAAGAGTGTTTGAATGTTTCTTGACTAAAGCTGTGAAGCAGAGTCAAGTTAAGTGTGTGTATCACTCAAAGCTGTGAAGCAAGAGTGGTTGTGTTGCTTGATTAAAAAGCTGTGAAGCTTAATCAAGTGTATGTTTTTGAAGAGTGTCTTCATCAATTCATTAGTCAAATTGTTTTATGTATCACTGCTGTGATTGAGGGGGAGTGAGTAGGAACTCAGGTTTAAGTTGTACTTAGATTGAAATTGCATTGGGTAGGTCTTAAGTGAAGGAGATAAACTGGTTGGTTTATTCCTGAATTAACATCTCTTATAGTGGATTTCCTCCCTGGCTTGGTAGCCCCCAGAGTAGGTGTTGTTGCACACTGAACTGGGTAAACAATTGACTGTGTTCTTTACTGTTTTTGTATTTACTGTCTTATAGAAAGTCAGATACGGTGTCATAACATTGAACGTGACATTGAGTATCTGCAGCCAGAATTTCAGGTAGATTATGAAAAGGGAAGGTATTAGCACCCTTTTCATCCATAGTTATCTATGGGATCTTAGTTGCTTGCTAGATCACTTGCTTTTGTTTGAAAATGTGCTTTGTGTGGTTTTTTGAAAGTATTTTGAAAAGGCGTCATCATTTTAGGAAAACTTTGTAATAGTTCTCGTTCGTAAGAACGTATACAAAGTGTTGAGCTTTTGAAAATATTTAATGTTTGGAAAGGGTTTTGTAAGTGTTTTGAAAGTGTTGGTGTTTGTTTTTGAAAATAAGCAAGAGTGTTTGATTTGAAAATGAGAAAGCGACTAGG